GTGTAGGTAGCGGGGCTGGTAGGGGCTGCGTTGGGTGTAGCGCGGCCACCTGGGCAGGTCGGGGAGCCCCAGCAGCTGGGCGCGGAAGGTGATGGGGGGCTCGGGCAGGATTTCTGAAAGGATCCGGCCAGACACATGAGGGTTTTCGGTGACCCAGCCACCCCATGATCTTGGGGGTTGAGCCCGTCACCGTTGTCTGGGCACCTTCCATGTAGAATCTGTACCAAGAGCCACGTCCCAGCAGGACGTGGGGGAGAAGGGGGGGAGCTGGGGGGCCCGGCGGGAGAGGCACCGCCCAACTTTCAAACCACTCCAGCACGCAAGGGACCCTCCACAGAGCCCACCACCTTCCAACCCCCCCCAGCACGCAAGGGCCCCTCCACAGAGCCCACTCCCGCCCCAGGACACGGCTCGTACGCGGAGCCCGGCCCAGCCCCAGGATCCCAGAGGTGACTCGCGAGAGCGCTGGAGAGCAGACGGGGTGCGTGGGGACGGATAGACAGACAGACGGGGTGTGTGCAGACAGACAGACAGACGGGGTGCGTGGGGACGGATAGACAGACAGACGGGGTGTGTGCAGACAGACAGACAGACGGGGTGCGTGGGGACGGATAGACAGACAGACGGGGTGTGTGCAGACAGACAGACAGACGGGGTGCGTGGGGACGGATAGACAGACAGACGGGGTGTGTGCAGACAGACAGACAGACGGGGTGCGTGGGGACGGATAGACAGACAGACGGGGTGTGTGCAGACAGACAGACAGACGGGGTGCGTGGGGACGGATAGACAGACAGACGGGGTGTGTGCAGACAGACAGACGATGAGCGTGGGGACGGATAGACAGACAGACAGACGGGGTGTGTGCGGACAGACAGACAGACGGGGTGTGTGGGATAGACAGACAGACAGACGGGGTGCGCGGGGACGGATAGACAGACAGACGGGGTGTGTGCGGACAGACAGACAGACAGACGGGATGGACAGGCAGACAGACGGGGTGTGTGGGGACAGGCGTGTGATTAGATTCCATTTCCTGTTATTCCTGCTTGGCCAGTGCCTGCTGGGAGGTGGGCAGTTAATGGTGCCGGCCCCTTTGGACCTCTCCCCTGGCCCGGCTGTGGGTGACCTCGCGAGAGGAGTGGGGGGCTGGTGAGCCCCTGGCCCCTCACCCACTCACCGCTGGAGTTCTTGCGGACAGAGGGGAAGGCCCGCTGGAAATGCTCTCGCTTCAGCTCCTGGACGCAGAGGGCTCCGGCTGCCGGGGAGACGCTGCGGTCGGGGAGCGTGGCCAAGGCCCCCCCCAGGAGCACGGCTGCGGAGAGGGAGGGCGTGACAGCTGGAGGCGGGGTGGGCCAGGAGGAGCCGAGGGGGGCAACGAGCAGCCAGCCAGATGGGTGCTGCAGGAAGGGTGGGGGGCGGAGGCCTGTGTCGGGGGGGCCGGGGCAAGCCG